GACATTTTCAACATGGGAGCAAGCTAATTTTGCACATGTTCTCTATCTCTAAGTGCTTAATACAAAATAAAGGACGTGCTACATATTCGATATCCCTCTGGTGATGTCTGTTTAGATTAAATGAATCAGACAAATCATACTGATGAGGACCTGTAAGAATTTACATAAACAGAGATGTGTGAAAGAGAGAGAGACCCATTTACTTACATAATGTGACGCGTCTCTGAGTGTGAGAGAATAAATGTCATTCGTTCATTTATTCAATGTGAACTGATTGACTGGAGGGGGCATTTGTGATGTCTGCCAAAAATAAAAAGCATATTATTTCAGTGGCCACTTTACAAAAAAACCACGCACAGATAAATTATTCAAAATGTAACCAGAAATGTGTATTAAGGAAGTATAAAGGGTCAGTTGTTTTCATGCTGCGATTGTGTGTGAGAGATTATTTCATTAAGTTCTAGCTTTAGAAAGTCTTCTGCCTGCATTCCACTTTAGATATATAATCAAAAGCTATCACTTTGAAATGTATTAAACTGTATTTCAGTTGTTTGAATTGTTTTGTATCAAGTTGTTCAATTAGCATCTTCTTTTTAAGCTTTTTTAAATGCGACCTATTAGCCTAGTTTAGTTTTGATATCACGTTTGATGTTTTTTCCAAACTTTGCACGCTTGATTGTCAGTCTTTATGATGCAGTTGATGGTATTCATCTATAAATGTTTGGTCTTGTAAGGCAATACTGTGTGATAACCGTGTCTGGAAGCTGCAGTCTCACAGAATGAGACATTTTAACAGGGTCGGCTCTTTATTCTGCTCGTGATGTTCAGATCTATTGCACAGAATCGTTGTATTTTTCCCTAGAAGTGATGTCTATATTTGAAACAAGTTCCAATAAACATTCCTACCGTGTTTTCAAAGCGTCTCTTGTTACTCTTTGCATGTCGCGTCGTGCGCATGCGCATACTGGCAAGTAGAAATAAGGAAAAATGGAATTCAGGGTCTTCATTTTAAGTTTTTAATAAAATGGGCAAGTGAAATAAAAAGTAACGTATTCTTTGATTTTATAAGAGATACAGGGTTGGTAAATAGAAACTCTGAAACTCTGTTTCACACTCCGGAGCAGAAGGTGGCGGTAATGC